ATTTATTTATTTGAGAGTGAGTGAAAGTGAGAAAGATCACAGAAGGAGAGGGAGAAGCGGACTTGCCGCTGAGCAGACAGCCTGATGTGGGACCCGATCCTAAGACCCTGGGATCATGACTTGAGCCAAAGGTAGATGCCCAACCAACTGAGCCACCCAGGGGCCCCCCTAAAATGAGAATTTTAAAAGAGACAGCAACATTGGTAGCTCTACCATCTCACTGCAATGGGACTTAAGTAAGATAATGTATGTGACCATACTTTATAAAGTACCAAGTGCCCTGGCAAATGAAGGTATTATTATTTTGAATTACCTTTAGCTTTATCATTGTAGTGAGAGCCTGTTCTCGAGCTTGTAATTGTCCTACCTGGGCAGAAAGTTCCACTAATGTGTTGCTGAGATTTTCGTTTCTAGCCTACAAGGGAACAACACATAAAATACTAATTGAGTCATTTAAAAGCTTTCATTACTAGCATTAGCCGCAGTCTGTGCTCATTCTGTTTTGTTTGCTCTTTAACTTTTATTTAGTAACAAAGTGGGCCAAGTAAGCAGTCATCAAAAAAAAAAAAAAATACAAATCTTTCTCTCCATTACCTCTAGCATCCTCTCAATGCTATGTTTGCCCTCCTGAATCATATTGGTTATGCTTATAAATGTCTATTTCCCAATCTCTCTTATGTATAATTCTAGGTTGGCAAAAAAGAAAATAAATGAAAATTGGATTAGTAAGAGACTTCCTTTGCTGAAATAAAGTAGCATTAGTGAACTTCTACGCACATATATGTGTGAGTGTGTGTATAATTTTTACTCTATATTGAAAGACCTTCACTTCATATTGGGGTATTCCCATTTATCAGGTTTTTTGGGGGTTTCTTGGCTTTTTTTTAACCCCAGAACTACATGATATATTTATTGGTTGGAAAAAAAGAATAATGAGATTTTTAAATGGTATCTCCATGAAGGAAGTTTAAATACATGCTACGAAGTAAAAGAAGCCAATCTGAAAAACGTACATACTATATGATTCCAACTATAGGACATTCTGGAAAAGACACAACTATGGAAGTGGTAAAAAGGTCAGTGGTTCCAGAGGTTAGGAGAGACAGGGATGGAGCACAGGATTTTTAAGGCAGTGAAACTATTCTGTACAATACTACAATGGTGGATACATGTCATTACACATCTGTCAAAACCCACAGAATATATAACACCAATAGTGAACCCCAATGTAAACTATGACTTTGGGTGACAATGATGTGTTAACAGATTCACTGATTATAACAAATGTACTACCGGGGTGCAGAACGTCCATAGTAGGGGAGACTGCGTTTGGTGGTGGAGGCAGGGGGTATAGGAGAAATTTATGCATTCTACTCTGTTTTGCTGTGAACATAAAACTGCTCTAAGAAATAAAGCTTATTAATAAAAAAAAATCTTCCTGCTATGAACTGAATTGCATCCCCCCAAAACGCATTATGTTGAAGCCCTAACCTCCAATATGGTATTATTTGGAGATGCTCCTTTGAGAGATAATTAGGTGTAAAAGAGGTCATGAATGGGGCCCTCATGATGGGATTAGAATCCTTGTAAGAAAAGACACCAGAGATCTTGCTCATTCTCTCTCATACATTTTTTTTTTTTTTTTAAAGTAAGCTCTATGCCCTATGTGGGGCTTGAACTCATGACCCCAAGAACAAGCGTCACATGCCTCACCGACTGAGTCAGCCAAGCACCCGCTACATTTTTATTTTTTAATTCAACATATCAATAGAATAGTTTTTACTTTTTTTTATAGCTAGAAACTGTCTAGAATAATAATCTGAAAGAATAAACAAGGCATTATCATTATGAAACAAGCATAATACAAATGCTGTAACAAAAATATGGCTCTCTGTGCCTCTAGTAAAACATGAGTTCAAAAAATATCTGATGACCAGTTAGAACTGAAAAGTGAGGGGCGCCTGGGTGGCTCAGTCATTAAGCGTCTGCCTTTGGCTCAGGTCATGATCCCAGGGTCCTGGGATCAAGCCCTGCATCAGGTTCCCTGCTCCGCAGGAAGCCTGCTTCTCCCTCTCCCGCTCCCCCTGCTGTGTTCCCTCTCTCGCTGTGTCTCTCTCTGTCAAATAAATAAATAAAATCTTAAAAAAAAAAAAAAAAAGAACTGAAAAGTGAAAAATCAGTCTTACAAATTTTATTCCCCATATGCCACTAACATGATGTAGATACTGTTTATCGTATCAAATAAGGCACATTTAGAAAGCATCATGTGAAGCTACCAAAATTTGATGCTATTCATCTGAGACTTTGAGAAAGGCTTTCTAAAATAACCCATTGTTGATAAAGTGACAGATGCTCCTCGACCAAATGGGCTGATAGTCAGAAAAGGTGGTAATGAAGTTTATCTCCCAGACAACTCAGCACTGTGCAGCCAACCAAAGTCATACAGTGAGCACGAAACTATGGTGGCAGATGGACGGATCGACTTTCATACACACACATACATTTTAATGGAAACATTTAAATCTAATTTCTCAATACCTGAAACAAAATTTGGGCTAGAGAAGCTTATCACAAAATAAAACCAACCTCAAGATCTTCAGAGAGGAGAGAGGAATGGGTTGCCTTTTGAGCCATTTCCTGAAGCTGTAGCTGAGTCTTCTGAAGAACCGTTTGGCATTCAATCTGATTAGATTCAAGGGTTTTTACCTTCTTTGTGAGTGACCTGATTATTTCAGTTCTTTTATGTAGTTCACCTGAGGGAAATTTCATCAATAACTACCTTTTGATCAGATCTGAAGTTTAAAATGCATTTTCAAACACACAATTAAAAGGTTAAGTGTGCTAAATAATTTTTTAAAGGATAATTCTTTTTAAAGAATGTATTATGGAATCCACGATACTGGATAGTACAGAAACAGAATAGTCAGCAACCCAGAAGCCCCATGGATGTCATTTCCTAAACACAATGTCTCCAATTCCCACCTTCCCAACCACTGTCCTGATCTTAATCATTTGCCTGCTTTTTAATTATAGTGTTACCACCTATGACCACATTCCTAAAACACAGTTTGATTTGAACTGTATATAATTGGGATTATACTCTGAGTTCTTCCCTTCACTTTTTTCTACCTAAGATGATCCTGAGATTTATCCACATTGTTGTATGTGACTGGTGTTTGTGCAGTATCGTTGCTACATAATATCCCATTATATGATTATGCCAAATAGTATTTACTACTATTGGTAGCCACTTCAGTTGTTTCCATTTTGCAGCTATTATGAACAATGTTGCTCTGAATATTCTTAAATGTGTATCTTGGTGTAATTTTGCAAGAGTTTTTGTAGAGCCTTGCTACTCAAATGGGGTCCTTGAGCCAGCAGCATTGACATCACCTGGTAATTTGTTAGAAATGCAGACTCAGGCCCCAGACCTGTTGTATCAGAATCTACATATTAATAAGATCCTTAGGTCATTTACTTGTACTCTGACCCATGGGTATATTCCTAGAAGTGGAAATGCGGGGCCATGAGCTAAAACTTTATTAGATACTGTCAAATGATTTTCCAAGTAGTTGTACCAACTGACACTCCCACCAGCAGTGAATGAGTCTTCCCTTGGCTCCAAAATACCTGCTACCTTTATATATACCTGATATCTTTACCAATACCTGATCATTTTTGCTGGTCTGGTAAGTGTAAATGGTATCTCATTACGGTTTTAATTTGCATTTCCCTAGTCACTAATGAGAATGAGAATCTTTTTTTCTAAGTAGGCTCCACGCTGGGCTTGGAGCTCCAACACAGGACTTGAACTCATGACCCTGAGATCAAGACCTGAGCTGAAATCAAGTTAGATGCTTAACCGACTGAGCCACCCAGGCACCCCTCAAGTTTCTTATTTTAAAACCAGATACTGTTGGCTATATGCAATGTCATTTTCATCTTTAACACATCTGTATAAGATATATTACATCTAATGTGCAATCAAATCAAACATGATGCGTATATGTGTGTGGCTGGGTATGGTCAGAGTAAAATCAAATGATCATCAAAGAAATGGAAAATTATGCATATTCAGTTTGTCATGTTTACAGAGTCCTTCGGGTAACAGAAGATAAAAAAAAGGAGGTGCAATATAGTTATCTATTAAACAGATCTAGTGTTTTCCCTTCTAATACAGTCTGGCATTGATGTAGTGTCACTAGAACATTCAGACCTCAGGGCAGCACTAAAGGGATGACAGAATTAAAATATGGTACAAAGAAAATTTTTGCAAGCCATTTTTGAGACTGCTATATTTTTAAAAGATGACTGTTTTAGATACTTAAGATCAAGTTCAATACCAAAAATTTAAAATCTTTGAGTCAGTTCAACAGAAATGGCTAGTCCTATGGCATTTCTATTCATATTCTAGCTCAAAACTAATTTCGTTCAGATTCACTCTTGACACTTCGGATTAATTGGAGCTCTCTCCAGCACCCTCTCTACATTTAAACTGTCTGCCCAACTTCAATTCACATTGTGTTTGTTCAATTGTGAGTGTTCATAAAGGCTTCCTATCTTCAATTAAACTAAACTCTAGGGCAGCGGGGATTGTGTTGAGATATTCTATCTCTTATCTTTCCTGTGAGCCCCACTTTTTTCCCCTAATGTATTTAATATTTAAATACATTTGTGTCTCAGGTGACTGGGTGGTGGTCGGTTGAGCATCTGACTCTTGTTTTAAGTTCAGGTCACGATCCTGGGTTCCTGGGACTGGGCTCTGCATTGCGCTCCATGCTCAGCAAGGAGTCTGCTTGGGGATTCTCTCCCTCTCCCTCTGCCCCTCTTCCTGCTCTCATGTGCGTGCACGCTCTCTCAAATAAAAATATTTATTTTAAAATAAATACATTTGTGTCTAACCCATGAGCCCTTTGAATATGCTGGCATACAGAGATATATAACAGATACTGCTAATGTATTTCTGACCCTCTAATTTGCTGCAACGTTCTTCCAAAGTCAACACTTTCTGCCGATCCTCTTCCCATGAAAGAAGTTGTCTCTGATGTACTGCAACCATATCATTGAGCTCTTTATCGCGGTCTTTTAATTCTCCAATAAGCAGCTGCAGCTCTTTCCGTTGTTTCTCGATAGTGGAAATCTCAACTTCTGACCCGATGTTCTAAACAGAGAAAGTGGTTTTACATCAAAATAAAACTAATCAATAACATAAATGAGCTGAAGCATTTTCTCCAAATAATTGTATCTTCTTTTGCTGCCAATTCAAGATAGTTAAATTATTTTTTATTCACTGCTTAGAACATGGCATCAAAATTATGTATATTTAAAATGAGTTCATGCCTACCTACCATGCACTCTGCCTCTATAATTTTCTGTCATACCACACATGCCACTCTTAAAAAGTGGGACCGTTTGTAAAACCTTCATCGGCTAATCACAAATAAACTCATTTTGGCATTTTTGTCTTTGCTGTCAACCCATTCCTTGTATGAGTCAACAATATTACCCCACACCTTGCCCCAGCAATTCTGTTTCAATCAAGTAAAGGAAAACATGAAATAATCACTGTTTGAATGTAAATAATTCTCATAACATCTAGGGCATATACTCAATCTACCAAGAACAATGTAATATTGTGATTGGTCCAAACTCAACACACCTGTTTATAAAGGAAAATTTTCAAACATACACAGAAGATAAAGGAATTGTACAATAAACTCTCTTATGTTCAGTACTTAAGTTCTACCATTATCAAGATTCTACCACATCTGTTTCAATTTTCCTTTCTCTTTTTGTTGTTAAAAAAACTCTTACATATTTTGGCATGCATCTCTAAAAATGAACATTTTTTATATCACCATGATGTCATTTCATACCTAATAAAATTATCTACAGTAATTCCCTTTATGCATATGTCATTTTAAAGACTAGATCATGAAGTTGGTCTGACCTAAATGTGAATCCAGAATTAATCACTTGAGTGGCTCTATAACATTGCACAAATTACTTAACCTCTCTAAGCCTTGGTTTCCTCACCTGTAAAATGGTAATAACACCTTAACTTCTTAGTTCTGTGGATTAAGCAAGATAAACCGTGTAAAGCACTCCATATTTACTTGGCACAGGGTAAGCACTCAACAAACATTAGCTATCGTTATTTTTTTAAGGAAAAATTTTAAGATACCAACTTAAACACGTGAAAGGGATATAGTTTTTCCAAACATTGGCTATTATTGATTGTGAAGCACATTTTGAAATATGGTACTGCCCCATCCATGAAATAAAAGAACTGAAAGTGTTACTTCAAGAATTCTACCTTAAAAATTTCTTTTAATTAAAAAAAAAGAATTCTACCTTAAAACTAGTAGTTAAAACTTCACGAGAGGCCCATTTTGTATCATTACTGCTTTCTGAAAAATAAGGTTTGTCAATAAATGATGACGACTGAATTACAGTTACTAGTAACTAAACACAGAAAGTGGAATTTGGATCAAGTGATTCCAAATAACAAGATTTAAATTCTAGGTCTTTGGTAAACCATTCGTTAATTCACTGATTCACTGAACAAGTATTTGCTGAGCGCCAAGTGGCTGGGGATGCAGTAATGAGCGCGCCGGCAAGGAGCACATATTGTAGGATAGGAAAACAGGCAATTCTCCAAACATGCCAAAAAAAAAAAAAAAAAAGCTCATTTCACCGTACTGATGAATGCAAAGCTCCCTTTTCTTCGTACACTCATAAATGCAAAGCTCGCTTTCAACACTTTCTGGTAAAACGGAGTTACGAGAGTGCTCGTCCCCTCGCAGGTTACCGTGAAGGAAATTAAAGACAGGAAGCGAGGCGGCGCACAGAAAGGCAGCTCTCCAAACGCCCAGGTGTCGTTTAAAAAGTGAGCACCTAGTCACTCGCCGCCCGTCTCGGCGCCTGGGCCGGATGTCGTTCTTACTAAAGTAAGGGACCAGATGCGACGCTCCGTTTCTCCTCTTCGTACTGTGTATCGTTTTACATTTTTAAGCAGAAACCGTTCCTTAAAAACCACCCGGGTTCGGCCAGAGTGCTCCCCGTCCCGCGAGGCTCGCTGTCCACTCGCACCCGGACGCTCCAGCGGAGACGCTGAGCCGGCGGCGGCCGCTCACCTGGCGCCCGACGAGGAAGGTCGCCGAAGGGTTCATGGGTGCTTCCTCCGCCCCCGGAGAAAGTCGGTGAGCGCAGCGTCACCTTACAAACGCCATAGGCGCGCCTGCCCGGAGCGGGGGGCGAGCCCCGAACCCCGGAGCCCCGCGCCCTCGGGCGGTCCGAGTAAGCACCCAAACCGCCCGCCCAGAGGAACGCGCCCGCCGGCCCCGCCTACGGCGTCGCCGAGGGACCATCCCGGCTCTCGCGAGACCTCAGGTGCGCCCTCCTGGCTCGCGCGCGTGCAGGTCGGGGGCTGCAGGCTCTGGGAAGGTTGATGTGCGGTTGAGGTCCACCAGCCACCGTCCGCGAAGAACCGGTTCTTCGCCGTTAGCCAGCGAACGAGGAAGCAAATTAAAGGCCGTTTCTGCCCCCGTCACCCCAGTTTTGACAGTTGAGCTGCTCACTTCTTTCCCGGTCTTGTCAGCTGCTGTGTACACCGGGCACTGAGAACGGTACCTGGCCCATTCACACGAATACCTGGACGGACGCAGACGCCAGCCCCGGTAGTTAGCAGCTGCTGGCCATCCTAGCACACAGCTCGAAACTACGAATCACAGATTGAGGCGGGGGGGGGGGTAGTAGTGGTGTGTGTGTGTGTGTGTGTTTTGTTTGATTCTTGATGAAGCTTTTGAATAGCAATGAGAACTTACGCACTTGGTCATGACAAAATCTACCACATTCTGGGATGAATCTAAGCTTTTTCTCGTGTTATCTCAGTCACCTTGCTTCCTTTCACTTGTTATACAGGAACTGAACTATGAAAAAATAATAAATAATACTTACATTTAACCCCTGATCTCCCATCCCCTACTGTTTAACCCATAACATGGCATTAATGGCAAGACAGATTACCAAATATGGTGTGATAGTATTTCAGCTTTACTTTTGGATTGACTATGAATGAGCAAAGCATGTCCTTGTGTTCATAAAGGATAATCTGAAAAATGGAAAATTTAAATGTCTTGCTTTGAGGCTTTACTGATTGAGTGGCATTTGCCTCCTTGGGATAGGATTGTTGAGGAGAACCAACAACACAATGTCTAAGATCTAAAATCGGGAAAGCAAATTCTGACTAGTTAAAAGCATCCTATCAGTAGATGACTATACAATTAAATCGTGGTGGAATGAGAAAGATAAAAAGGAATGTGGTTGAATGTCAACTTTCCAGTTAAGAAGCATTTCAATTCAGGTTTCCCAAATTTCACCATTGTTAAAATGTGGCGTTTTTCTACCGGGCAACCACATACCTAAAACTCTCTAAAAGTATGTGTACAGGGGCGCCTGGCCAACTGGGTGGAGCTGCTACACTTGATCTCGGGGTCCTGAGTTGGAACCCCACATCGGGCATAAAGATTACTTAAAAAAATAATCTAAGGGGCGCCTGGATGGCTCAGAGGGTTAAGAGCCCAACTTTGGCTCAGGTCATGATCTCAGGATCCAGAGCTCCCTGTTGGGCTTCTTACTCATCAGGGAGTCTCCTTGTTTCTCTGCCCCTCCCTCACCCTACCCCATGCACTCTGAAATAAAATCTTTTAAATATATATATGTAGTATACTTTATGTACAGAAAATAGTAAGAAATGAGGCTCATTTTATGGGATTATGTTTGTAAGTAAATTGAATGTGGTAAGAGTATGACAACTAGTTGCATATCAAAAACCTCAGTATTTTAAGTTCACTCACTCCCACAGGTTTTCTTTAAAATAGAAGAGAGACGCCTGGGTGGCTCAGTCAGCTGAGCATCCCACTCTTGATTTTAGCTCAGGTCATTTTCTCGAGATCAGCCCCACCTAGGGCTGGCTGCACACTGGCCGTGGAACCTGCTTAGGATTCTCTCTTGCTCTGCCCCTCCCTCCCCTCCTCAACAAAATAAAACAGAAAAGACCTTTAAAGATACTTTTAAAAATACATAAAATGTTTTATGAACGCTCCAAGCAGGGGTATCTGGGTGGCTCAGTCAGTTAAAAGTCTGCCTTCAGCTCGGGTCATGATCCCAGGGTCCTGGATTCAAGCCCCACATCAGGCTCAGTGGAGAGCCTACTTCTCCCTCTCTCTCTGTCCCCCACCCCATGCACTTGCAAGCTCTCTCTCAAATAAATAAACCTTAAAGAAAAAAAAAGACAGCCCCAAGCATTATACTGCACCTGATTTTACACTCAGTATAACCGATGAACTAAACAGACTCATTCCTGTCTCCCTACCTTACTTCCTAAGTAATTTAGAAAATAACAAAAACAGGATCTAAATAGTAGACTTCATCTTTAAAATTGCAATTTATCAAATTTTTAACTAAGAGTAAGAAAGCTACCTTGTATCTTTTTAAGATTTATGGGGCGCCTGGGGTGCACAGTCGTTAAGCATCCAACTCTTGGTTTTGGCTCAGGTCGTGATCTTAGGCTCCTGCGATGGAGTCCTGCCAGCTTAACTGCGGCAAATCGTTACGATTATGACATAAGGCTGTTTAAAGGTTAGTACTCTTTTTGCTAAAAATACTAGACTGCAAAAACATTTACATAATAAAGAGAATGTATGAATTAAAGTCAATCCTTGAATTTAGCACATTTTAATCAGATTAAACTAATGCTCCATTTTAAATTTCAGGTCAAAGAAAAAGATTCACACATGTTATACACAAGGACAATTTTAATCCTCCATTATCCTGCAGCAACATCCACTGCTGGCTTTATATGGATTAAAACTGCATTTGCCAAGAACTGTGAACACTGAGAATCTTTACATGAAGTCACATAGTTGATACAGGCACAGACATCTTCCAGCACCAACAGAATACATACACAACACATACCAAATGGTCTTGATGGATAAATTTGCTTCATCAGATACTCCTATTTAGTAAAATTCAGTTAATGCAGAATTTTGTTTTCTTAATTTGCATCTTTATTACACATTTTTTCTAAGATTTTAATTATTTAAAAAACCACGCATTCAAGGTTGCAATTTGCATGGCAATAAACAATAGGTTCTAAATTTCTTAAAGGTGTCTATAGCGATTTAAAATACCAGGAGTCTTCTTTTCAATTTGTAGAGCCTGACTTAAGACCTTTATAAAAACAAAGTTTAAATTCATTCAGTGCATTCATCAAAATTCACTGTCACTGTTTCTCTTCTGAGAAAGACTCATTTCAATTGCTATTTCCCAGACCATATTTATACTGAGTATCGGTGTATAGTCTTTTCAATTGGCTAGCAGAATGCTAGAACAAGAACTCAGCAGCATCCCTGAATGGCCTTCCACTCAAAACAACGGTGGTGATAACGTATAAAATGAATTTGGGGTCTGCTCCCCACTTAAAATCACCAAACAGGTTTCCAAAATAATTTTGGAAAATATTTAAAAATATATGCATAATATTCTACCATATGGTGCACCATCATTCTTTAACCATTTCCCAATCGTTCATTTATCAGTTGTAATTTTTTTGCATTTATGAGTAACATTGTGATGAACATCCTCACCCACAGTTTTAAGCAAGAGTGATTCTATCTTTAGGATAATGTCAATTAAGTGGCTTACTGGGTCAGACTGCAGATGGTTTTAAGGCTTTAATATACTTTACCAAATAATCTCCAGAAGAGTGTGAACAACTCCTACCAACATTAAGTTAATGTGACCACGAAGTGGACTTGGTTGGTAACAGTGAAGCAAATTCAACCACAAATCTATTAGATGCCCAAGCATCTCAAAAGTATCACACCAAAGAAGCAAGGAGACAGTTATTAATGGTGATGAAGCCAAAATTCAAATTCTTTAAAATATTACTCAGCTTTAAATCATGATTTCATTAAATCATGATTTTAATAAACAAAAAAGCTTTGCACAAAAAATCTAGTGTTTTTCCAAAAATAAAAAGTTAATAAGAGAAAGAGAAAAGGCAGTACCAAATGACCAAAAATTTTTATTTGACTAAATTCTATTTCATGCATAAGCATGACAGTCTCCCCTGTTTATTAGACTTTGGCAATAAAAAAAACAAGCAGCCTTATACAGAACAGTGAAAATGCCAAGGGTGAGGGTAATCTACAGTTTTACTGTAGGATAAATATATATATTTTTAAAAGGCCTCTCTCCCTTTGGCCATATCAACTCTCAGTTCAGATCATTAAATAGAGACAAATTTTCAAAATCACTTCTTTACTTCTCCAAGATCTTCGATGCTATCATCATCCACCTATAAAACAAATAATTACATCTCATGAATTGTGGTATCAGGTAACATGGAAGCAACTTGCTTTAAAAACTTATATCCATAGGTGCACATGTTCTACCTACTCACCTCTGGCCATTTTTCCTGAATGACATCAATTATGTCATCTGTAAAGTCTCCCTGAATGATGATTTCATCCTCTCCTGTTACTGAGGCACCACAGGAGAATTTCTGAGCAAAAAATCTTTGTGCTTCTTTAAGATCAATTTCTGTTATTTAAAAAAGAGAAAGAGCAAGACTATAATTGGAATTGTATATCAAAGATATTTTTCCATTTTGAAATTTAATCTGTATCTTAATTTCATAAAAGATTACCTTAATGGGTTTTATATTCCTTTCATGATAATTACGAACTACCACAGGCAGTGGTCTTAACCATTCGACTTATATTTTCTTTTTTTTTTTTTTTAAAGATTTTATTTATTTATTTGAGAGAGAGAGAGAGCACATGAGAGGAGGGATGGTCAGAGGGAGAAGCAGACTCCCCGCCGAGCAGGGAGCCCGATGCGGGACTTGATCCTGGAACTCCAGGATCATGACCTGAGCCGAAGGCAGTCACTTAACCAACTGAGCCACCCAGGCGCCCTATATTTTCAAGGTCAAATAAAGCTTCAGTACATAAAAATAGCATTATTTGGGGGGATGGGGTAACCGGGTAATGGGCATTAAGGAGGGTACATTATGTAATGAGCACTGGGTGTTATATGCAACTGCTTAATCACTGAACTCTACCTCTGAAACTAATAATATACTATATGTTGATTAATTGAATTTAAGTAAAAATTTAAATAAATTTTAAAAAGATGCGTCCTATCACACACACACACACAAAGCATTATTCATACTATTCATAACTCATATGGTTAAGACCAAAATAAATCCAGGAACACATTAATCCCAAGCATTACATATACATTTCCAAGTACAATGAAGTTCTTTCACTTATCCTTTTTTTACAAGAGAAATAGTTACAGAAGGGAAACAAACCTACCTTCTATTGACTGTTTTTCAACTGTCTTGTCACAGGAAGGGACCTTGGTTTACAATTTCACTGTTCATTCAAGGCCTCCAGAAGGAGCTCTGAGGCAGGACATTTTGCTGATACCCACATTCCCTCACCTTCTACTACTATTCCCAGAGGGCACAAGCCATTTTGCAGCCTTTTGCCATCTAGCCCACAGGGACAGAGGAGCAGTACCGATAGGCTTCAAAGGGAATCCTACCTAGCCCTCCTCATTCCACATAAAATGTGCCCAAGCAGGTATTCTGAAAAGGAAAAAGTTAAACTAGTTCCCTTTGCAAAACATTTTTCAATTTCTTCAAAATCTGATTTTGAAGCTATAGACATGCAAAATCTCATTTTGTATCTTCTTAGCGAAAAATAGACCTGTGAAATTTTCATGATGCCAGATTAAAAAAGAGACAGAAAGAGCAAGACACAGAAAGAGGGAGGGAGAGGGGCAGAGAGCAACAGAGAGAATACAATTCACACATTTTAAACATACTTAAACTTGAACTCACCGAAAGTTGCAAGGCCACATACTCTTGTTACATATTTCTTCTTTGCTCTAGGAATTTTGGCTATTGTAACTTTTTGTGGTACAGTCTTCTTTTTTTGCTTTATTTGACCCCTTCCACCTTTATTTATGTAAAAAAAAAAAAGAGAGAGAGAGAGCTCCGCATCAATTGTTTTGTGTTTAACATAAATACCGTCTTTAAGCTTATTAATTTTCAAAAGGTACCAAATATTAATTTCTAAAGTTTCTTCTTCTAACACAAAACTAATAAACACATGCATGAGTATTCATTCAATAAATATTTATTAAGTACTATGTCCAAGCACTGCACTAAGGGTTGAGGACAAAAAGATGAACAGAAGAAAACATAGTCCCTGCCCTCCAGGGACTCTCAGTCAAGTGAAGGAGACAAAAAAAAGTTTAAGAATTACTGCAACTGATACATACTGTAACAGGAACCATGAATACTGCACCACCATAGCTTTGCAGAGGAATGGCTTACTCAGCTTCTGGAGGACAGAAAAGGTTTCCCAGAAGAAACGGCATCTAAGTTCTTGCAGAAGGAACTATCCAGATGAAAGCAGAAGAGCTGGAGAGATATGGTAAGAAAAGATATCCCAGGAGAAGGGAACAAGTACAAAGATAAGAGAAGGCATTATACTTGAGAACTACAATTGTCTCGATGAAGGATGCTTATGGATATGTAGGAGATAAAGCCAAAAGAGCAAACGATTAAATTAAAGGACCAGCACATCAAGCTCTGTTATTTGATTTTATATTGAGGCCGAAGAAAAGCCACTGAATGAATACAGGAGTGAAAAAAACAGATTTAGGTTTTAGGACATCACTCTATACCATGAAGGGTGAGCCTTTGAGGAATAAGGCCGACAGAGAGCTACTGGAGGCTCCTACATTAGTTCAGGTGGAAATTAATCAAAATCTAACAAAGCAGTGGTAACAGTAATGGTGATTAGGCACAGGGTAGAATAAGGAGGAGAAATAACAATTTACAACTGATTAAACGGAACTAAAAATAATTAGTACTAAATAAATTAAGGAAGATGACTATTTAAAAAAACTGATTAAAAGGAGCAAAGAAGGGACGCCTAGGTGGCTCAGTCAGTTAAGCAGCTGCCTTCCACTCAGGTCACGATCCCACTCAGGTCTGGGATCGAGCCCTGCATCAGGCTCCTTGCTCAGCAGGGAGCCTGCTTCTCCCTCTGCCGGCCGCTCCCTCTGCTTGTGATCTCTCTCTCTCCTCTCTGACAAATAAATAAATAAAATCTTAAAAAAGGGGGGGAGGGGAGCAAAGAAAGAGAACCCAAGATGAATGTCAGGTTCTGGCTCATATGAATGGATAAAGTATGCTGTCATTAACCAAAAGATACAGATTTGGGACTTAGTAAGTTTGGTTTTCTTGGAAATACTGCATTTGAGGTGCCTGTGGGACCATGCACATTGCCAGTCTAGAGACACAGGCCAGGACCAGAGGTACAGATTCAGGAATTTCAAATGTAGAATGGTGTTAGAAGTTAGGGATGTGAAAGAATCATTCAGGGAGAAAACTGCAGAATGAGGAGGTAAGATGGCCGAGCATAGGATCCTGGGAAATAACAACTTTTTAGGGACAGAAGGGAGAAGAGAAGTCTGCACAGAAGACCGAAGAGGATTGATAGGGAGGATGAAGAAAGAAGTCTGTCGCAAAAACCAAGGAAGTATGGCATTTCAAAAAAGGGCGTGCTCAAATGCTCTTATTGCTTAGCAATTACTGAGCCACTGATGACCCCTATTAGAGGAATTTCAGTGGTGTGACAGTCAGCTTAAGTATGGAATGAGACATGAGCAATGAAGGACAGAAGAGCAAGGACAGTGAGTCTAATCTTACAAGTCTGGCTAAGAAGGGCAGGGCAAGGGATAAGGCAAAGACATGGGCTCTTGGGGGAATTTTTCTTGAAAGATGCAGAGTCCTTATTTATAAGCTAATTTTAGTCATAGGGGAGAATAATTAAGGCAGAAGAAACAGGCAGGGACAGGATCCAGAGCACAGGAATTCATTTTAAGAAGGAGGTAGACAGTTATACACAACAGCTATTGAAAAAAAAAAAAAATTCAACTGAGCTGACAACATAATGAGAATAAAATCTTTTATCAATGTCCTCAACTCTATTTTAATAAGGTAAAGTTTTCAAGTCATAAACAAGCTGGTTGGTTGCTTTTTGCATATGTATACAGCAAATAAAGCATATTTTCTTAGGTCCAATTTACTGTAAAAGCCCAAATCATATGACATCCAGTCATCCTGAGTATATGATTCTGTGTCGCTCTGTAGGGTATACATATGGAACTACAGCAGCAGGGACACATTACTGGCTTTGCGACTGTGCTCATTATGTATTTCCTCTGACAGAGGGAAGGTGTCTTTATATAAATCAAGCCATGGATTTAGGCCTTACCTCTCTTCTGCTTTTTCTTCTCTTCCTCTTCCCCTGCTGTGCCTTGACCCTCACTAATTCCAGCTTCTTGTTTTGGTGAATTTTCTAGATGTTAACAATGAAATCCAAAGCATTAACATTACTTCAAAATAACCTTTAAAAAATCACCTTTGAGCAACTTCATACACAAAGAAGGCATCTTGCCAACAACAACATGCCATTTATAACGCAAATGATTATATTGCTAAATTCCCATCCAGTCTAATTCTGGTCATTATTATTAAGTCCATGGTGACAGAAGACAAAGTCTTTGATATATGAAGATTGGGATCTTTTCAGCACATGAAAGGAGCACAAAACACTCAGACTCTGCAGGCATGTTTACATCTAAACATACTAATCTAGGTTAACAGGAAGTCTGGGCCTAAGAAGACTCCTTCCTCAGGTCTTATCATGTCCTAGGCAGGTCATGTCCCAGGCTGACCATGACCACGCAGACTGTAACACCCAACTTTAAGGTTCTTATCCGACCACGGATGATGACTGTGGCTACTATCCAGAAAGGCCTTCTATGAAGTTTCAGGGGTTGTGCCTCTGGGAAACAATCTGACAAAACAGCAAATAGTGGAATAGCATCAGGAACATCTGACACGACTGTTTCCAGCCCAGGCTTTCCCTTCTTCCTGCTACTGCCTTTATTTCCACCAATCTCGTAAGAGAAGCCAACAGTTTTAACAAAATGAAGAAATCTGTTCCCTTCCGTCTTCCCTTCCACTGGCAACAGCAACTCCATTCTTCTAGTTGCCAAAACCCTAGATGCCTCCTTTTCTCACATCCCACATGCAGCACATCAGAAAGCCCTGTCAGCTGTACCTTCAAAACACATCGAGAACCTGCCTACTTTCCCCGCCTCCACTGCTACCATTCTGATCAGGTCACCATGGTCTCCTGATGCGATTACAGTCACAGCCTCTCATCTGGTCTCCCTTTACTGCCTGGGCCCCTCTTCAATCTGTTCTTTAGCACAGTAGCCAAACAGATGTTGAAACAAAAGTCAGACCTTACTGCTCTTCTCCTCAAATCTCTCCAATAGCTCCACATCTCATTCTGGGTAAAAGCCAAGACTAGGGGCGCCTGGGTGGCTCATTCAGTTGGGCATCTGCCTTCAGCTCAGGTCATGATCCCAGGGTCCTGGGATGGAGTGTGACGTCGGGGACATCGGACTCCATCCCTGCCCAGCAGGGAGTCTGCTTCTCCCTCTGACCCCCGCCACCCCCTGCTCTCTCTCTGCAATAAATAAAAAATCTTTAAAAAAAAAAAAAAAAAAGCCAAGACTAGGCCTTTAAGGTATGGTCCTCCATTACTTCTCTCTGACTTCATCTCTGACCCTTCTCTCCCCCCTTCTTCAATAAGCTCCAGACACAAAGGCTTCCTTGATGTTTCCTGAATATGACAGGTAAGCTTTTACCTCAGGGCCTTTGCACTTGCCCCACACCTGGAATATTCTCCCAGATATCCAAATGACTCACTCCCTCACTTCCTTTAGGTCTTTGTTCAAATGCAGTTTTTTCAGCAAAATCTTTCCTGCCACTACCTAAAACTTCAAATTCTCTCCCCAACAATTCTTATCTCCCTATTCCCTGCTCACGACTATTCAACATACTTACTTCTTATTTTACGTAGTCTCCCATTCTAGAATATAATTTTCAAATAGATCTTTTGTTCACTGCCTTATCCTAAACATCTAAAACAAAGTGTAGCATATAGTATGCTCACAAGAAATAATTTGTTAAATGAATGAGTAAAAATACATTTGCTCCTAAACCATTACTCTTCTTATAAGAAGTTATCCTAAAGTGTCTCAGATAAGACACATGAAGCAGTGTGAGATTCTATATAAGGAATTTTAACCCAAGAATGTAAAATGGTTTTGAAGCTAATAGGTATAAATACAATTCTGTAATATCCTACTAAAGGAGCACTTTCTTATCTTTAAAAATAATGCCTTATGTGCATTTGTTTCAGATATACAAGCTTTCAGATTAGAGAAAAAAATGTTCATACCTACAGTAAGTTTTGCAAACTCATTTGGAAAATTCTTCTCTAACCACTGTCGACATTTAGCAACATCAGGCATATATTCACAGTACTGGGGGAGTGGGGGGGGAGAACAAACTGCGTCACAACAGAACATTTTCAATCAACCAATACATTTTAATTAAGTCCTTCCCTATATTTGCTATATTAAGAATGATGAAACCAACTACTCCCACCCAGTATCTTATCCACAGGAATTCTGTGTTTGACCAGGAAATGCCCCATAAAAAATTAGAATTTAAAAAGGATTAAGCACCTCCTCACTGTAGTAACGTATTTTTTTTTCCATCAAAGAGAAGGGCCATTAGAAAAAAGGAGCAAACAAAAAAAACGAGCATGTTCATTTCTTGCTTTGGGCACACAGGTGTCTATTTTTGTGACTTGCCCACAGATGCTGACTCAGAAGCTTATTAATAGAAAATCCTACAATTTTAATTTATGCTTTCCTCTGCTTATACATTAGATTTTTGGCTTTAAGGCTACTCTTGTTTTATTAGGTAACTATTCATAAGTTCCAAGCAGAAGTCCAAACTGGATAGCCAAGTACAAAAGATGTACACATATGATACAAAGTCTAAAGAAAACAATTTGTAAGACCATAAAATAATTCCAATCCAAAGTTTCTATAAAAGTTGAAACTCTACTATCAAATGACAGAACATGAAAAATAAAAAAGTTCTCAGGCTAGTTCTAAAGTCAATGACCTCAAATGAAGAAGTTAAAAAAAGAAAAGAATTTTAGGGCGCCTGGGTGGCTCAGTTGGTTAAGCAACTGCCTTCGGCTCAGGTCATGATCCTGGAGTCCTGGGATCGAGTCCCACATCGGGCTCCCTGCTCAGCAGGAGGTCTGCTTCTCCCTCTGACCCTCTTCCCTCTCGTGCTATCTCTCATTCTCTCTCAAATAAATAAATAAAATCTTAAAAAAAAAAAAAGAAAAGAATTTTAAAAGGACTTACCTCTGTTGGTAATGAACAAACTGGGGAAATGGAGAGAAAAAAGATTAGAAAATTTAACTATATAAACACACATGGTCCATCCTTTTATTTTAAATTGGACAAAATGCTTCATTTCTACTTTTTCCTGTAATTCTGTATCACTTTTCAAATACCACCCATCATGGGTTTTTTTTTTTTTTTTTGAGGTAAAAGGCACATGGTTCATATGAGATAGTCTCTTAATTTTTTGTTGTTGTTGTTTTTAATCTAAAGAACACCATAACCTCAGTGGATGGAACATCAAACTATACTAGCCTGCATATCTTAAAGATTTACCGTAACTATCTCAAGGGGTCTGAAGTTAAGCTGAGAACAATTCCCAATACAACACAGCTTGAAAGGAACTGGTTATTTCCTTTGATAGTTTTACCAAAACAGCCACCAGTTTTTATTCATACTAACATATTTATAGACTTCAGTAGCACTTTTGCTACCATTTCTTTGCAATATGTTTCCTTTTCTTTTTCATAATGTGCTTTCAGATCATGCAACTGTAAAGCTAGAGGGAACGCAGCTTCAACTTTGTCCTCGTACAGGCTCCATGGGCTAAAGAACCAAAAGAACTCAAAAGGTTTCCAGATTGTAAACAGAATTCTGTTACCGGGTCAACTATTTTGTTTTTACTTTTAAGGGAAAGAACTGAGTAGTTCAGTGTGCCCAATATCTTGAGATTTGTGAGGGAGAAGAGGGGTGGTGCACCATTACTCATCACAGCAATTATCGTTACATGATTATGTGTCATCATCACCACCCTGTAAGTAAGAATCACCATGTCTGCATTACCGATAGGTAAAATAACCTGCTGCATCTGGTTAGCAGAACAGGATGGTCAGTTTCTGAAGCTCTTAACCACGAAATCAGATTACATGACACGCAGAGATAGCGTAGCTGTGTGCCAGCCACGTGACAGTGGTTGGCCTCTTCCTCATCCCACGATCACTTTTTTATAGATGAAGCTTTAAAAAAGGTTCAATAGCTCAGCCAAGGACAAAGGTGGTAGGTATGTGGCAGAAGAAAACTGGAATGTAGCACCTCTTTATTTCAAGTGTGGAGACCTTTCCACCAAAGCTCTCCCTGGTTAACCAGAGCTCTACAGTCCTCAGTAGCTCAAGTTCAAATACCAATAGGTACAGATATTCAGCCACACTTTCAGGATAGAATTATAGGTTAAATACCGTTACAGCAAATACTAAAGCTATAAACCTCTGTACACCATTTCAAAGAATATTCAGTTCAACAAAACTCTAATGCAATGGAAACATTTGGACAATTCACTGTTACTTGCTTGTAAAGTCAATTTCCCGGGGTGCCTGGGTGGCTCAGTCAGTTAAGCATCTGCCTTTGGCTCAGGTCATGATCCCAGGGTCCTGGGATGGAGCCCCACATTGGGCTCCCTGCTCAGCAGGGAGCCTGCTTCTCCCTCTCCCTCTGCCTGCTGTTCCCCCTGCTTGTGCTCGCTCTCTCTCTCAAATAAATAAAATCTTAAAATAAAATAAAATAAAATAAAGTCAACTTCCCTGTCTGCAAACCATAGCTTTTCGACACACAGATCTTGTAGCTACCATCAAACTTCACATCACTGGGCACCTGGGTGGCTCAGTCGGTTGAACAACTGCCTTCGGCTCGGGTCATGATCCTGGAGTCCCGGGATCGAGTCCCGCATCGGGCTCCCTGCTCGGCGGGGAGTCTGCTTCTCCCTCTGACCTGCCCCCCTCTCATGCTCTCTATCTCATTCTCTCTCTCAAATAAATAAAATCTTAAAACAAACAAACAAACCTTCACATCACTAATAGTGCAATAACCTGACATTATGTACTTGCTGATGTGATGCAACATGAAGAACAAGGCATCATCAGCCATGAAACCTGCTATGGTCTGAATGTTTGTGTCCCCTCAAAATTACTATGTTGAAATCCTTTTATCCAAAGTGATGGTGTTAGGAGGTGCAGCCTTTGGGAGTATTATTCATTCTTCTCGGCAGCCTTCTGAAGTAGGCTCCTTAATAGATGAGGGAACTAGCCAAGGTCACACAAGTAAGTAAATGGCTGAGCCAGGATTCAAACTCAGATTGAGTCTGAAGTCACAATCAAGAAGACAAAATGTCTCCCCAGAAATGACCCCATTCTACCTACCCGTTTCTCACTCTACTCCAACCAGCACTCTGTTCCAATCAGCCCTTTCTTTTCCCTCTCTCCTGAAGACACCATATTAAATCTTACCACCGTACTGTTCTTATGAATTCCTTCACCTTTCCTTACAAATTCTACCCTTTATCTAAGGCTTCTCATTTCTTTGGACATTACCCTACTTCCTCTGAACAAAGATCCCTCCTTTTCCTCAACTCCTAATTCATAGTTATAATCAGTACTATTTAATTTACCCTAAGTGCTTCTACAACTAGACCGTAAACTCCTTGAGGAAGTAACCCTGTCCCCAGCTTAGTGCCTGGAATATCAATACAAACTAGGAAGGGAAATGAAAATACACCTTTCTCAAAAAGGTTAGGGACTGGGGCGCCTGGGTGGCTCAGTCGTCGAGCGTCTGCCTTCGGCTCAGGTCATGATCCCAGGGTCCTGGGCT